TTCGCTCAGAAAGTGTAGGGGCCACTGGAAGGTATTACAATAATAAAAGAAAGATATAACAATGTTAGAAAGTAACCTATGTAATGAAATTATTATTTTTTGGAAAGAAATAACGTCACTCGTAAACAGTGGCGTAGACAAGGAAAGGGGGGGGGGGGGGTGTTTTCTGGCATAGTAGAGCCGAGGACGGAGAAAGAAAATCTGCATATTTCGAAAGATATTTTTTGAAAAACAATTGTAAATTTAATAATATAATTTATTGTTAAACAAATTAAATAATTTTAAAAATTTTAATTAAAAGAAAAATCGTTTAATTTGGTAAAAATAAACAGCAAGCTTTTATTTGCATGTTAGTCTGAATTGTTGATTAAATTTGAAATGCGAGCGGATATTAAGAAAATCTCAGTTTTACTCTGATGATTTATGATCCTATGATAAGTTACTTTGCGATATCGAATTTTGGTATAAAAATTTTGACAGAATAGAGTACTCTTTGAGACCAAAAAATGTTTTGCATGCATTTTCCATGTGTAATTGCACTTTAGATTCCCTGCCTAATATTAAAATATTATTGTTTTTTATTTTAGTTATTTTACCGAATAGTACCTGCACTAATGAAAGGTTTATTTCAACTTTGAAACAGTTAAAAACCTATTTAAGAAATAGTACCGGTGAAAACCGTATGGATTAGCTCTATTAAATATTTAGGAGATTATTCCAGATAATTAGCCAAATCTCAGAGGAAAATAGATTTCTCTTTATAAATTCAAATCATAAAATTGCAATATGATTATAATATCTTCTTAGTCATAAAATTTTTATTTAAAAAACATAATTATAATAAATTTTTAGTCATAAAATTTATATATTTTTTATTTTATACTATTTTTAATAAAAGTATTGGATTTGCAATAAGAGTTATTTATATTTTGATATGATAATATAATCATTTGTATTAATTATAATTGTTAAATTATATTTATACCATTATTTGCAACTAGAATTACATATACTTTATTGTAATTTAATAATATTTTTTTAAAATACAGTTATTTACAATAAATTTTTATTATAATAATCTGTATAAAATTTATACATTTTGAAATTTATTTTATTGTATATTATCACTAAAATAAATCATAGTTAAATAAAGGGATGTTATTTATACTAAAGTATTTATAAATAAAATCTATAATGAAATTTTCTGTAAAATTTTGTTATATGCAAAAATTTAATTAAATAATTACTTTTAACATATATTAAGATATATCGAGTGATCATAAAAAATGGGAAGGTTTTTTTTTTGGGGGGGGGGGGGGGTGAATTTTTTTTCCTTTCTACACCGAATGGATTGAATTAATTTACAATTGAACACTACACATTGTTAAATTTTCAGAATAATGCTTCAAGTTGCCTATTAATCATAAATTTTGCCAAAATCTTGTTATTACTATTATTTTATTTATGCTGACTACTTGAGTGGTTAGACAATAATAAAGCACAAAATATTAGCAAATTTCAGAATTAGTATTTCCAATTGTTCAGCTAACTTTAACAAAAATGATATAAAAATAATTACCGAAAAATTAATATTATATAATTTTTTTAGGACCCGATCGAAGGCCGGAGGAAAGTGAGTATGGGAACCCCCTCCCCTATGGATAAATCCTGGCTACGCCACTGTTCGTATACTTTTTTTAACGAAACCTGATAACGTGCAATAATGCATTTATTTTCTGAATAGCGATTAGCGAATAATAACTGTTTTATTTTGCTTATTAAAAAATGAGATTAAATATTTAACAAAATCTTTTATCTTATTTTTTTATCTTTGTTTTTGAACATTTGATACCTTTTTTTTTCTTTAGATTTTATCCGGAATCAAGGTTATTGAATTAATATTGTAGGTAAATGAATTTATACTATCTTATATATGCAATTTATTATATTCGAATTTACTAAAATAAAAAGATGATTATAAGGTAGTTAAGACTTAACTTTTAAAGTAGCGTTTACTACAGCACTGAGTATAATAATAGTAAAATTATGTTAACTTTATGTGCATGTCTCCATATGCGATTCTTTGTCGTATGCAACTGGTAACCAGCTCTAGCATACCATTTAATTTATAAAATTAAAATAATTTTGAAGTTTCTTTTCGTTTTTTAAATTTAAAAAAAATTTTCAATATCGGACTAGAGTTAAAAACGGCTCGCTTTCAAGCGATTTTAAAAAATAATTTTTTAGCCAGAATAATATTGCCTAAGTCTCGAGATTTCGCGAATATATGTCCAAAACTTTATACAATCTATGAGCAAAATCTTCAGATTTGCTAAATATTTTTCTGGATAAAATATTGAGTTTGCTGTTAAAAATCGGCTAAAATAGACTCGTTTAACAACACTATATTCGGACAATAAAAACGAGAACTATTATCTATTAATTTTTATTAATCAACTTCTTAGTAAATAAATATATTAAGATTTCAATACAGAAGTTGGGGTATAAATATTTCCACCTCTAGCCGTTTTCGTCAGACAATTAATTACTTCTTCGATGCTCATCCTGATTTTTTTTACTGCACATTTCTGTAGATTATAAGCACTTTAGTTTCAGTGTTTCAGTGTTTATAATATCTTCCAGTGATTTACATAATCATAATTACCATGCATTTAATTGGTTTTTTGGTTAATGTTAAGTAATGTTTATTTCAGGTCATTTATTTGAATTATGCGCCCATCCCATGTGCTAACAAAATGTATAATTAATTTTTTTATCTTAATGTCATCTTAACCTGGCTGGGTATTATAATATTGTTGATCATATTGTATAGGTAATAGATATACTTCTTAAAACTTTTTTTTAAATGACTCCCTCATTCTTATATAATAATCAAACATAACAATGATTAAATAACAATCATGTTATACTCTTTTTATATATATATGTTTACAAAAAAGATTAGTATCCTATTTCACGAGTATTTAATATTATACCTAGAAGATGGTTTTAATATTTCACCTGTTTATTAAAAAAAAAATTTAATTATAATAATTTAATAAAAATTTTAAAAATTTATAATTAATTATCAATATATGCTATATAATAAGAAACTATCATCGTATATTTAAATGGGATGACGTCAAACACGAACTAAATATATAAGTCCTAAAAGTTTTATAGAAAATATTTTGGCCCTAATATATAAAGATAAACTTTTTATCAAAATCTCTAAAAAATTACCCCCTCCCTTAATGTCTTTCAAGCAAAAATTCACGATTGCGTCCCTCCATGTATCTGATCTCAACTACCATTATTAACGATTTTGGAAATTTAAAGAGAAATATATAATAGCTTTTATTTTTGCACTTCAAAATTTTAGATCTGGATAAGGTGACCATTAAATATATTTGGTGTAAGCGGGTGAAGGTGAAATGCCCCATTCAAAAATAAGTAATATCAAATCTTTATTTAGTAAAATAATAAGTACTATAAATTAATTTTTAAAAAATTAGAATGGTTATTCTATGATTTAAATGTTTAAGGCATAGGCGTATTTAGGATTATCCATAGGAGGGAGGGGAATGACTATTAGGCTGGATTTTCCGTCATAATTTTATTGGAAGTCTTTAGGTCCATTTATTGTAGCCTTTGGCGATTTTTGGTTTTCACTAATTTTTTTATAAAAGGTTTTTTTTTAAAAAAATTAGAGTTATAGTCTATTTTAAAAAGTTATTTAACTTTTACTAGTTTTTCTGTCAAATTCTTCTCTTATAGCAACACATTGTATACATTTTTGGAGGAGAAAGTGACGTGTAGGGGGAAAATTTTTATTAGTTTAAAATGATATTTACGAGAAAAGGTAAATTTGTGATGGGGGGGGTCCCCCTTGGTCACATGCTTAGTTTAAGATTGTATAAATTAATAACGACTAGCCTAAAGTCGATTCCCATGCCATTCTGAGGGAATCTTGTCTAAGCCTTTATTGTGTGGTTATAATCTGATAATCATGGACAAAATAATATAGATTTATTATACTGAACCCGAACCCTTTTAGAAGGGGTTCACTCCCACCCCTGGTTATAATTATTTTTTTTAAATAAATAGCTTAAAATCCATTTTAAAAGGGGATTGTAATTTTTTGTTAGAACTAAGCTTTTTCTTTAAAGACTATTTGACAGCTTATGTTTACTATTAATTCTCAACACTATTTAGGCATGTGCAAACAGGGAGAGGCAGCCAGGGTGATGTCACCGGGCCTCCAAAATAATACTGCATTCGGGGGTCGTCAAATTTTATTCCTTGTGCAGTTAAAAGGAACTTAAAATTTAAAAAAAGCGTAATAATTATTTTTACCTAATTCTGTCATATATTACAATTTTATAATATATTGCGTAAATATGAATTCATATTCTAAGCTGCTTATTCACGAATTCAATATTTTAAATTGCGCAGTTCATTACTTTACGATTTTTTTTAAAGCTCAAATTCGAGTATAAAAATCTGCGAAATTTAATTTTTACGCCAGGCTGAAAAATCTTAGCATGGCTTTTATGTATTTTTATTATATTCCTTTCATATATTATCATTTTTTAAAATTAATTTTATCAAAATAAATGAATCAGGCTTTGATTTGACTCTAATAATAAAAGCTTCAAACTGACTACACCAAAAATGGCTCAAATATAATAATCATAAATCAATTTTAACATAATAAATGGTACATTTATTATACCCTTCATTATTATCGTTCATTCTCGCTAAATATTAGCATTTGGAATCATTTATGGTGATGTATGAAACAAATGACATAATTTTGAAAATCGTTTTTTTAATAATAATTTAATGTCAAGATCTACAGGGCTATCTCGGAGTGGGCTATATAATGATATATTATTTTTTGTAATCTGGGCTGAGCTTTAAAACAAATAACAAACTTGAGGCAGACCAGGTCTGAAAATATTTTTATGAAAACTAATTATAAAATATTTAGGTTATACTTTTAAAGACTCGGAACTGCTCACAGATTGAGAATTTATTTGATGTATCCCAATCAATAGAAAATATATAGAAATCATTATGGTATAACCTCTCCATAATTTCACGATTTCGCGATATTTCATTGGAATATTTTCCCCAGGGACCTTGGATGATTTTACCATGTTAAGAAGCCTCTCTTAGAATTATAGAATTTATTCGAATTATACGAATTTATAAAAATTTGATTTTGTTGGATCATAATCGCGCCCTATGTTTTTTTAAAATTCGTAATTGAATATTTGATAACTTATTTTGAATTTTGAATATATTTTTATGTAAAATACATTATTTAAAAATGCTGAATGGGCCACTTATTTTTTTTTTACTTATTTTTTAAAAAAAGAAAAATAAAACACAGGATAATTTTAATTTTATAATTATTTTATTTATTTACATTTAATACAAATTTAAAAAATTTTAATGTTTAGAAATTTGTATTATTATTATTTTAAAACAATGGTTATTTAATATATTAAAAGGAGCGTCTTTTTTAACTTCATACTGCTATGGCTTCTATTATTTATTTTATAATTATTGTTTCATACCTGACCAAATTATGTTTTTATTTATTTTTTATTTATTTACCGTATATACCTCAACAATAAGAATTTCCTCTTTGTTAAGCATAAAAATCAAAAATTAAATTAATTTTTTTTATTTTAAGTTTTGTTTATAAATATAAAGAGTTTTTTATTTTTATGGAATAGGCTATTTAAGAATATATATATATTTCAAGAGAGCCTTCACTTATCTCACTTATTTTCTTATCAATGCTGAAAAATAAGCTTTAAAATTTTTTTTATTATTTTATGTTCCATAATGATAATTAATAGTCGAATAAAGTTGAACTAAACTTCACGCATTAGTCGGAGTCGAAATTTCAAATTTATGTAATGCTGAACCATTGACATTAACAAAAATTTCTTACAAATTATATAAGTATTTTTTTTATACTTTTTATATATATAAAATGTTAATTATCATAATTGATTTATTGGTTATCTGATGAGGTAGATTATTTTTATTTTATACATCATATTTAAAAAGTTTTATATTGTCAGTGTCACACTGCTGACTTAATTTTAATATAAATAAAAATTTTAAGAAAATAAATCTCTTAAAATTAAATATATATAAGTTTAAGCTCTGATCTTTTTTTTAAAAAAAGAAATATTTACATTTTTTGCATAATTATTGTAATTATGATGAAGGAAAAAAAAAAAATAAGGAAAATTTATATAAAAATAGAATTTTAATAAATATAAAAATAAAAATAACAATCACAATTTTTTTTAAAAAAATAAAATATATAAGTCACATATAGCTTAAATATTCATTAAATAATATAATGTATAGTAAAATAATTGAACTTTTATTTTTATGTAATGAATATAAATATTAGGGAAAAAGAAAAGATGTGAGTGTATAAAAAAAATAATTTAAATTGTTTTTAAATAATGATGTGATTGTGTGATTTTAGCATTTGATTTGTTAATACACTAAATTAATTAATATATTTATTTTAAAAAAACTCTATATTCTCAGTTTGTCTTAATATAATGAGGCAATCATTCAAAAAGATGGTCAAATATTCTTCTAATTGCAATTACTTCCGCAAATATAGAAAATATTTATTTTGTAATTTTATAAATAAAATTTGTAGTAGAAAGGGTAATTTCTTAAATCGAGACCTTATAACACATAGCCACACGAATCAATTGTGTTATAAAATATCTCTGAGAGGTGGGAGTAAATATACACAGTCTATATCTATTTGTAATGGGAATTTTTGGCTTGAGGAGTATCTAGTGGACCCTGCTTATATGGATATTAAAATATTTTTTTCCCCGTTTTCATTCACAAATCAACAAATGATAGTTAAATTAGCTATTCTTTAAAAGTTTTATTTGTTTTAAAGCAAATTTAAAAAATTCACAATAAATTTTTGATAAGTTCAACAACCTTTATTTCTTTAAATCGAGAAAATATCCATATTTGAGCCACTTACCTAAAAAGTGCCAACATTTGAAATTTTTACAATAAGAAATATTTGCTCATTTATAATTTGAGTATTTTCGATTTTATTTTTTTGGCACTTTTTGTCACATTTAGGTGAAATAGCAATTTGCTAGTATTTTTGGTCATTTAATATCAATTTTTCTAATTTATTAGTACATTTGCTGAGTTATTATATAATTTTAGTATTTGCTATATATTTTGGTCCTTTGGCACTTATAGGCGAAACGACATTTTGCTAATTAGTTAGAAAATTAACTCATTTACTATTAAATTTTCTAATTTACTATTACATTCTCTAATTTACTATTACATTTGCTCATATATTATATAATTCATTTGCTATTAAATTAGATCCTTTGGCACTTTTTCACGTTTTTGAAGCTTTTAAGCGAAACTGCATTTTAATAATCTAATATTTTTTGCTAATTGTCTATTATATTTTCTAGTTTGCGATACCATTTACTAACTTATTACATAATTTGAGTATTTGTTATTCAATTATCATGTAATTGGGTATTTGCTATTAAATTTGATCTTTTGGCACTTTGTGGCACTTCTAGGCGAAACGACTTTTTGTTAACTTGTTAGTACTCTTATTAATTTACTAATAATTTTATAATGAACTATTAAAATTGTTTATTTATTATATAATTTGGGAATTTGCTAATTAATTATTATATAATTTGAGTTTTGCTATTAAATTTGCTCTTTTCGCACTAATAAGCGGAACGACTCTTTGCAATTTATTAGTGCTTTTGCTCATTCACTACAAATTTTTTAATTCACTATTAAAATTGCTTATTTATTATATAATTTAAGTATTTGCTATTCAATTTTAGGCAAAATGGCTTTAGACAAAGTGCAGATATAACGTTGATTTTATGCAAGGATTCGAACTCTAACATATCGGTTCAGGTTCACATTTTGGTTCTTAAAAACTATAAATTCTGTTTGTATATTTAAAAACATGTTGTGCCCCATTACAAATAGAAAACAAGTTTAAAGCTAAAACAGGGTTGAACCGTTTTATATTTAGTTTTTTCAGAATTTCTAAAGAGGAACAATTTTTAAATTGCACCCATAGAACCTATTTATAAATAAGTTATCATTTTTGCACTAACAACTAAACAGTATTTTAATAACTACTATAATATGGATAATTGATAAAATTATTTTCATAAAAAAAAAACTATTGACTGCAGGGCTGAGCTGGGGTCAGGTGTTAAAACGGCCCAATATTCTTTACATCCTAAAGTCGTAACGATCTTAGAAACCCATGTTGATAAGGACCTTTTCTCTTATAAAAATCTTGGGAAAAAAATATACCAAGAATCAGGTTACCCTAATGAAGGATATTATTAGACACGATATCTTACTAGAGGCTGTCTAATCTTTATTTTTATTCATGTTCTCTTTTTTTTAAATTTTTCCTATTCACTTTTTTAAATTTTAGTTTAGATGTTATATATGTAATATGAAAATCTTAAATAAATTATTTTATTTAACTAATTTTAAAAAATACAATATAAGGGCCCAATAGCAAATTTATATCGTTTGCTATTATGCTATGCTATTTTCACCATTAAATGGTGACGCTTGATGCCTAAATCATTTTTTTTACTTTCGTCAAAGTAAATTCTTATGAATAGCCAGTTCTTCATTCTTTATTTCATTTTATATTTAACAATACAACGTAATTTGAAGTCAAATATAATAATGCATATTCTATGATAATATCACAATTTTTTTATGCGTCAGGCAATTATATGTATATACACATAATAATAATTTTTTTAATAATGCATGTTATATTACATAAGTTATAAATAAAAATAAAATGTTATTTTCGTCATTTAATCGTTATGACAAAACCATTTTTTATTCACCACCTTATTTAAAGGTGAAAAAAAAGAGATTTGATATATTTTTTGTCAAAATAAAAGGGTCATCTTCATTTCTTTCTCTTTTTTTGGAAGATGATACCTTCCTAATATTATATATTATAATTTCTATAATAACTTTTTTAAAGATAATTACATCACTGTGGTGATATAGGAAATTCAATTAAATACTAGGAATATAAATTTTTTTTATAATATATAATAAATGATTGATTTTAAAAAAAAATTTATTTTTCCTTAACTTTTTAAATATAATTATAACATTCTCCGCAAAATAAACCGATTGTAATAATAATGTTTGAGGAATATTGGGTAAGATTATGCTTTGTGAGCCAACCATTGGCTATCTTTTATTTATTTATTAATTTTTTTTAATATTTTTTTGTTAAAGGATATTTTTATTATCTAAAACCATTGGTTGTTTTTTTTAACCCAAAAATATTATTTTTAAAATGAATTTTTAATTTTAATATTTTTTTTAATTGATTTTTTTATTTTTTTAAATTTTATAATTTTTTAAATAGTTAGAATAAATCTTTAAAATATTATCTTAAAAAAAATACTTTTTTGTAGACCCGGTTAATAGAAGCATAAACCAGTTCATAGAGCATCTTTGGCGTTATCTCAAAACAACCAATGTTAAATCTGGGAAGTTAATTTATGGAAGATTGCATAGCAACATATACAGTGTTGACCAGATTTGATGGAAAACAATACCATTTATTTGAAAATAAATTTATTTGACTTACAAGAAATTGTTAAAATAACATATTTATATATTCCTATCAATTTTTACAAGTTAAATAATTTTTACAAACGAATTTAAAAAATATGGAAATGTATATTTATTTAAAGAAAGAAAAAAATATAATCTATTGAATATCTTTAAAAATGTTTGAGAAGATATTATAAGCATTTCTTATTATAAATATATAGAATATATATTTTGTTATACATTTTTATATTTTAAATAAAGAGTCAACTATTAAATTGTATGCTCAGATAATACGTAATTAGACATAAAGCTTATAAATAATGATATAAGTGACCAGGCTAGCAGGAATTTGGTGTAAGGGGGGTCGGGGGATAATAATATTTTTTAAGAAATATTATTGTTATTTAAAAATATTTAGCATAAATGTATTAGGACTAATAACTTTTTTAATATACAATTTTAAATGTGAATTACAAAAAAGTTAAATATATAAACCGGCATTAAAAAACTATAATAAATGTGAATTATAAAATATAAAGTGAATATAAACACGATATGAATCACTTAAATGACGCAAAAATGAAATTTGAATTTTTTGAGCCTTTAAAATTTATAT